AAAAAAAGCAAAAGATTTGATTCTTCTCTTCAAGTAATTTACAAAGACAAAAATAGACACACACATGCACATACACAGAATATCAACAAATGGGAACCAATATTTGTTGACTGGATAGATATGCAAAAATGGAATATGGGTAATAGTCTACACAAGAAGCTGAAGATTTTCCGAAATATATTATGTTCCTAGAATCTTGAGACAACATCAGGACATTACAAATGAAAATTTAGGCTAATCATCATCATCATAACAACAACAACAACAAAATGAATCAGATCAGCAATCTATGGCCTCTAAATATTTATTGAGCACCTGAGGCCATGTACAACACAATGATAACATAAAATAGAAAGTAACAAATGACAGGAGGAAGGCATACTATGTAATGAAACCTCAGAAGGAAGACATATATGATTACGGGGCCTGGAGGTCCCATAATGCAGGGACCTGGGAGATCCCATGTGCAGGAGATGACATTTGCCTTAAGTCCTAAATAATGGCAGACATATAGATCTGTAGCAGTAGGAAGAAAAGATGAACTGAGAAAACAGCTTGACTAAAAATATAGAGATTAAAAAAATATATATGTATGTAACTGTAAGTTCTGTTTGGCTTGAGGTATAGGGAATAAGGTTGGAAAGGGAAGTTAAAATTAGATGTATGGCTTTGAAATTTATGCGTTTAGACTTTATTTTCAACATTATTTAGCATTACTGCACATTCCCTCCCTCCCTCCCTCTCTCTCTCTCTCTCCACTTCACCCCAGACAGTATAGATTGTTATTTGGTGAGTGATGAGGATAGGATCAGAGTCACAAAGACCAGTTACTTAATATTGCTCTGGAGTAAAACAATGGGTCCTAGTCTTAAGAAACTTACAGGCCTGAAGTTCCACCACTTTACTATCATATGAATTATTACAAATTGTTAAAAACTTTTTTTAAAATAACAGGTACTTACAGGAGCTTCTGGACTGGTAAACACACAGGTGTGCTGGGGGGTGGTGCAGCTCCACACCCCCCACCCCCAGTGCCTTGCCCTGTAGGTCTCTTCCATCTGGCTGTTCCTAAATTGTAACCTTTATAATAAACTAGTAAGCATGAGGAAACTGGATTGAGTCTCATGTGAAATCTGTCCTACCTCTAGACTTTTTGGTGACATGAGCTATCAAATTTTCTAAATTGTTTGAAAAAAATAGATACTTACTGATTTCTTATTAGGCTGACTGCTGTCATATCCCGTGGTAATGTCCCGTACATGCAGTATAGCAAATGTCTCACAAAATTTTGGATATTCTTTCGGAGAATCAAAATTACGAAGCCTTTCAAATATACTTTTGATGGTAGGTGGATCATAACATAAGAAATATGAAGTTTTTGAAATATGATAACCATATCTGCACAAAGATTTAAAGTGCTAAAATCAGATTTCGGGTAACTCTTTAGAAAAGTAAATATTAAAGATAAGCCTATTATAGTATTTTGTAGAAAGTGGCAATCCTTAATTCAGATAATTTTAATACTTTTTAAAAAAGGATTGACTATTCCTTAAGCACAAATTTAGAAAACTAAGGCTAAGACATAAAGAAAGGAAAATCTAACATGTGAAATTCATAATAGTAGAACTTACTTTTCATAAACCTTAATTAGTTGCTGTTTCAATGTTACATTCATGGCTTCCAGGTAAGATGCCATCTCGGCAACAACAACGGCTGCACTCACCCCATCTTTATCCAAAACTGAAGTTCCACACAGAAAACCTGAGAATTAAAAAACATTTAGAAAAGAGGAAAACTTAAGCCTATAATGTCAATAGTGTTACATTTCTTCAGAAGGACCAGTGAATTTAAAAGCCTAGCAATAGATGAAACCCATCAATACAGAACGTATTTAGGGGACACTTGGTTCTTTTAATTTCTGATAAGAAATGTATCTATAAATTTCTGAGTTTGCTATAGTTTTTACAACTCAAAATATAAAAGCAGAAGACAAAAATTCCTCTCTACAGAATTACATTTAAAAAAATTCTCTCAATCAAATTTCAAAGGTTTTAATATTTACTACATACCAATAGACTCTTCAAATGCAAAAAGGACTTCTTTCCCATTTTCCAGGAGGTCTTTTATCCTACTTCCAATCCATTTAAAACCTGGTAATGTTTCCTGAAATGCAGAGGAGGCCACTCCAGTTAAGTGACTCTCTCATAAATACATTTGAGAGAAAAATCTGCCACTAAATGCACATAACACTCATATAGTGATCTTCTGTTAAGATCTTTGATCCACAAGGATTTATACAGTGGTAGACATATAGTCACAAAGTGCCATAATTATACACACTGCCACTACTGATGACCTACTATTGAGTATAATAGGTTATTTATGCCAAATATAATCCAATATTTACAAGTGACGTATATAGTCACAAAGTAACACAAACACACTATGATCACTTACTATTTATTAAGTACTATAATAGGTGCTTTACATTATCTTTTTTAATGTTCACACTGTTGCTGAAACAGAGGCTCAAAGGTTAAATTTGCCCAAGATTATGCTGCATATAAGAGATGGAGTTGGGAATCAATTATACTGCTTCTCAGAAACTGTTCTTTAAACGGTATTATTAATATAACCACTAATATAGGAGTACCTGTGAAGATTGGTGGATTTAGTCTCCCTGAGTAATCAAAGGCCATGAAGCCTTTTAGTGATGCACTTTTAACATTATCACAACATATGCTTGAACCAAGTGTACCTTCCCATAATATTGTGGCCTAAATAAAACCACCAAGACAGTTACTAAGTACTACTTTAGTAATTAGATTTGAGGATTTTTCATCTAATGAGCTGCTGCTCACTTTAAAGACATGATGTTTTACAGTCAACAGAAAAAATATGTGATACACCTAATTCTAAAGCTCACCATTACTAAGTTTCCTAATTAACCCCTCTACTTACCTCCTCACCAAAAGATAAAAACAAAAAAGCCAAAAATCTTCCCATCACAACAATAAAAAAAGCAAATTTATAATATTTACCTTTAGAAGCATGTTCTTTTTTTCTTTTTTATGCTCACTATACATTTTTCTTGCCATAGATATAAACAAGGAAAACATTCACATTATTGTAATTTGGAATCTTAGGCTCGAATAAACTTTCAATATCTTCTATTTTGCTATTTGTGTTTTAGAAAGTCTAAGATTGAAAGCTCTACTTCATACTTCATAAAGACAAGCACAACTTTCTTTTTACTCAGCCAGTTAGTGTTAAGACCCCGAGCTTGACTATGGCTCAAGAAAAATGCCCAGAGGTAACCTTTTCACTGATATTTGGCAAAGGTGGCAGAGGAAAAGCAGCTTAGTCCCAGAAGCTGCAAAAATGGTCAGCTTAACTGCCAGAGGTTCACAAAGTTAAGGATCTGGGCAGATCAAGAGCCACTACTTGTTTTTTGAATGCAGAATCACTGGATATTAATTTGCAATTTAGAAGACTACTTAAAGTTTCTTAAGACCGTGCTTAAAGGACCTAAGCAAGGGATTGCTGACACCTATAATTTTTTGGAATGGAGTCTGTGTTACTGATGAGGTCACCAGGAGCCAGATTTTCCCAGTGGGAAAACCAGATGTTGTTGTGTGGAATAATAAGTGTCAACGTAATTTTAAAAGAATATCTCATCTTATTCCCAGAAATCACATACGGTACTGCATGAATTTGGCTCAACATATCTACACTATCAAAAAAGATTAAACAAGTATTAACAGAGTTAGAAAAAATGGGGGAATTACAAATGAAATCAATGAAAGTCAGTTTTGGTAGGGAGATATCTTTTACATATAGAAATAGGTTTAGAAAAGTAGTGCACAGATATTGTCTGTTCTTACTTCAAAATGAAATCCTTCTTTAAGTGCAATTGCTTTCAAAATTTTAGAAGAGACTGTGGTGGCTAACATGTAAACATTCTTCACATCAGTATTTCTTGATTTATTTTTCTTCCAGCAATCAAACATCCACCACCCAAACAAAGCTGCCAGCTCATTCCCTGTGAAAACTTTCCAACGATCACTGTAGAGAGAATGAACATTCAAAGTAAGGACCTTTGTAACTTCTCATTGAAACTCCTTGACTCTAAGTCCTACAAATTAGGTCAGACAGGAAAAACCAAAAACTATTATATGGGATTTTGAGAAAACATTTCCTACGACTTTTTTTCTAACCGACCACGGGTAGGAATGGTTGCAATGTCTTTTGGAAAGTTATTACATTGTTACTTTTATTCTCCTACTTAATGAGTAGGAGATGTTTAAGCCTTTCTATGTAAAGACATCTGCCATATTATAATGGCAAAAATACATAGCAACCCAGAGGACCAAGATTAGGAAATGATAATATTGACAAAGCAATCTGGTAAGATACTGTGCCATTTTTAAAATTAATTTTTTAAACAATATATAAGGACAGGGAAAGAAATGCTAACAGTACAACTGAAGCAGAAAATAATCAAGATATAAAACTATATATACTATGATCACAATTTTACAAAAACAATTATATATTTAAATATTTGAGTAGAAAAAAGATAGGAAGGAAATGTCAAAGTATCAACTTGGGTGGTTATCTCTGGATGGTGGGCTTATAGGAGATTTGTGTTCTTTTTTGATTTTTTCATATTTTCAGTGAGTCTGTAAGACTTAAAATTGAAAATTGCTTTGCAAAGTTCAAGCTTTTAATCAAATAACAGATTGCACTTACTTCTCCTGAAGTTCTGCCACTGCCAGTCGGTCTGCATCAGGATCTGTGGCTAGCACTATTCGGGCATTTTCTCTCTCTGCCAGTCTCAGAGAAAGTTCCTGAAATAGTAACCCAAAAAGCTGTATTGTATTGAAGAACCTAAATTCAGTGTTAATATTTCTAAATGTAGACACTATGTTAGTGATATGAATTTTAGGAGGCATATAGGTTGGCTAAATTTAATGTAAGAAGCCTAAAAGTCAGGAACCCACCATAGAAATTTTTAAGAAAATACAGCCTATGGCTCCAATATAATCTAAAAGACATAAACTACAGTGGTTTCTGCTTTTGTAAGTAATCTCTGAATTGCCAATGAGTTCTATCTGTTCTAATGGTTTAATAAACTAGTAATTTAAATATTTAAAAAAAATACCAGCACGGATTCTCCTTCTTCAGGATTTGGGCATTTAACAGTAGAGAAGTCTGGATCAGGATCTTTTTGTTCTGGTACTGGAATTGGAGGCTTAAAACCAAACATTTGAAAAGCCAACTGCACATAGTCATGTCCGACCCCATGAAAAGATGTGTGCACAAATTTCAAGGTGGTTTTTGAGTTTAACTCCCTGTAAAGGAAAATCACCATTTGATCAATATCATAAAACTTGTTATCTATGATATAATTAAAAATAGTCAAATTCTGAAAAGGGTGACGAAAGCCTTCAGCAGAGGTCTAAGGTTTTTTTTTTATTTCAGCATATTACAGGGGTACAAATGTTTAGGTGACATATATTGCCTTTGCCCCATCCAAGTCAGAGCTTCAAGCATGTCCATCCCCCAGATGGTGCACACCGCACGCACTAGGTGTGAATATACCCATCCCCTTGTCCTCACTCCCACCTGCCCGACACCCAGTGAATGTTACTACTAAATGAGAATATAAATGTTGATCAGTTAATACCAATTTGATGGTGAGTACATGTGGTGCTTGTTTTTCCATTCTTGGGATACTTCTCTTAATAGTATGGGCTCCAGCTCTATCCAGGATAATATAAGAGGTGCTATATCACCATTGTTTTTTGTGGCTGAGTAGAACTCCATGGTATATATATACCACATTTTATTAATCCACTCATGTATTGATGGGCACTTGGGTTGTTTCCACATCTTTGCAATTGTGAATTGTGCTGCTATAGACATTCTAGTGCAGATGTCTTTTTTATAGAATGTCTTTTCTTCCTTTGGGTAGATGCCCAGTAATGGGATTGCTGGATCAAATGGCAGTTCTACTTTTAGCTCTTTGAGGTATCTCCATATTGCTTTCCACAGAGGTTGTACTAGTTTGCAGTCCCACCAGCAGTGTATGAATGTTCCTATCTCTCTGCATCCATGCCAACATTTATTGTTTTGGGACTTTTTGATAAAAGCCATTCTCACTGGAGTTAAGTGATACCTCATGTGGTTTTGATTTGCATTTCCCTGATGATTAGAGATGTTGAGCATTTTTTCATATGTTTTTTGGCCATTAGTCTGTCTTCTTTTGAAAAGTTTTTGTTCATGTCCTTTGCCCACTTTTTAATGGGGTTGTTTGATTTTTTTCTTGCTGATTTTCCTGAGTTCTACATAGACTCTAGTTATCAGCCCTATATCGGATATGTAGCATATTTTTAAAAACAAACTATGTGGTATTAATTTAAAGATCAAAAGATTTTTTAATTCAACTGCATTCTTCCTTTGTGGTTCATCTTCCTGACCTGGATATCTTCCCTCCATCTGCTGTGCCATTACCCTAAACAAGTTAAACTCTATGTAAGTATCATCTACCAGAACCATCACAAAAACTTCCTAACTGGTCTTTTTCACTCTCCAGCAGATCCCTCCTTTACTTTCTTTCATGTCCAGCTTAGATTCCAAGGTACCCCATTTCAATCACTATCTTCTATGTCACTTTGGTTACCTTGACTCTCCCATACCCCAACCCTTGTTGAACCCAGCTAAGTACCTTTTCCAGGCCTGTACCAAAATAGCTAAATATTGCTAGAGTAAATCTCTCAAAAGGATTGAACAGCTTCACTTTCAATAGACACTCAACACTGTCAGGCAGTTCTACTTCATTACCCCAAATGCTTACATTTTACTCTCTAAGATGGTGATTTAATTAATACCTTCTTTTCTTTCTTTATTCCTTTCCTCTCCCTTCCTCTCATACATCATTGAGACAGAGAAGCCATCTGATGGGAACCTCCTATTCTTCCCACACCAAATCTACAACCCCATTAGCATCCATAAATATCTTTTCCTTCTTCCATCTGACAACAATGATCAAGTTTTCTTTCTGTCAAAGGTCAACCCTTCTACTTCTGCTCTGGTCCCCATCTCCGCTCACTCAAGAACTTTAGTATTAATATTTTGGTTACCCTTCCTCTCTTGCATCATTTCCATTAGCATCTAGTTCCTGTTTCTTTGGTCTTTTCCATAGCAAAACTTTCTATATCTTTACCGATCATTTACTAACCACTCCCCAAAATAAATAAAATTTATTACAAAATAAAAATAAAATTTTATTATGACAACTTTCAAACGTACACATAAGAATAGAGAATACCTAACATCTATATGCCCATCACCTTGCTTCAACATTTACCAATATTCTGTCAATCTAGTTTCATTTATTCAAGATATATTATTTTATATTAAAATGCTTTAGTATTTACAAACATAACCATAAAACCATTATCACATCTAACAAAATTAATAATAATTTCTTAATGTCTTATAATACCCTGTGTTCAAATTTTCCCCAACTATCTCAGTTGGTTTTTAATAGCTGGTTTACTTGAATTAGAACCTGAACAAGGTCCACATCATTTAGTTGTTTCATCTCTCAAGTCACTTTTAGTTTATAAATGTTCCTCCCTTCCTTCTCCAAATTCCATGTTATTTGTTGAAGGATTCAGATCATTTGCCCCGTAGAATTTCCCATATCTTCAGTATGCAGATTATCTCCTTTTGGTATTAACATGCTCCTCTTTCTTATTTTTTTTTTTTTGGTAAATAGGTAGTTGAATTTAGAGGCACCATTAGATTCAGTTTCAATTCTTTAGGCAAGAATAAGTGCTGCAAATTTTCTATTGACTCACAAGGCAAGGCACATAATGTCTATCTTATTTTTAATGACGTTAAATTAAGATTCAACAGTGTCTTCTCAGACTAATCCTTCCACCATAAAATTTCCCATCAACATTTTTTCTCCCATCATAAACTTTCCCATTAATATTTCACCTACTTGATTTCCCATCAACATTTTATTTGATGAAATGAAATCAACATTTTGTCAGCCCTTGATAATCAGTGCTTAGATACATTATCTATTAGAGGTCACAAAATAGTGATTTTCTACTTCTAGTATTCCTTCTGTATTTATTAGTTGGATTTTTCTTTTT